CAATAGATCTTTGTTAAGAAGCGTAACGATCGCCGGGAGAAAGTCGCGAAATTAACCGTGACTGGTAATCACTGAAATTACTCCGCTTTTTCTCTCGCTCCTACCCCTCCTCCTCTTCTCGCCCACACGTTCGATCCCTCGTCATTTAAAAAATGAACGGCCTCGCATTCGGCCCGTTTCTCCAGTTAATCAGGATCAACGAATTTCTACCTTGCGTTTAATCGCGTCACAGTTAGCGTAATATATGTTATTGTGCTCTGTCCTATGTAGTACGATTCATTTTCGAGCTTGTTTATTGATTGTTTTAAATATTATACTGCGTTCGTGGATTCGAAGGGAAAGCTGTTAACTGATTTATGGCAAGATTTGTGGCAACGCAATTTGGAGCGAGCATTAATTACGATACGTAATAACTGCTACCCTCTTTTTAGCTGTTGCTCGTAACGAGTGAATAAATTTATATGAAATTCAATTTCCCCTCCGAAATAAGTGGAATTATTCGCAGGACCTGGCGGTCGCGATTCTCTTTCAGAATACTCCTCGAACGTTCAACTTCCGTCTGAATGAATATTACAATGCGTCGAACAGAGAAATGAATCAATCCGACAATGAATTCACAGAGGCGTGATATCTCGTAAACATAAGTGGCCACCTGTAACCGACTTTCCGTTTCGGGATTCCCACGATCGGGAGAAGCATGTGGGCCCATTCACCGCGATAGACGTTCATGCATATTTACGATGCGACAATGAAATTGGATTTGGCCAGGAGCACATGGCTCATACGTATAGGTATGCCAGTCGACCCGCTCCTCTTTTTCTTCCTGGTTCTCGTGCGTACACGCGTTTCATTCATGCGAGCCTCCGAGTATAAAGTGGCCCCAAACCCCCAGCTTGCATCCCTGCCAATTCATCGGACACCACCCCTTGATTCATGATAATTTTATTCCCGTGAATGGACGGGGGCCTGTAAACAGGAAGAAGTCAAACACGGAAGGGAGAAAAATCCATTAAACGTCCCTTCGCGTGTGTAGGTTAACGACACGTCGTTCGAATGAATGGGCCTTCCTTTGATCGACACGATCAGACATTTTTTTAACATTCATTCATCGTCAGAATTATAATATCCGTTCGTTCACCCTCAGAAAATGTTATTTTGTAAATACATAATATGCATTAATAACGTATTTCGAAAATGGATAGCAAAGAAGCCTGGGAACGTTATTTTTCAAAAAAAGCGATAATTGCATTCGAAGTGAGCCGAGCCAACATTTCTCTGGGTATTGAAAAAAAGCATATTTCTTTCTTCTAGAGAACCACAGACTACAGGTGTTAACTGTTTGACGCAACACGTTCTGGGTTAGTTATCGCACCTCACGTTTGCGCGAGCAAAATTGTTAATCACTGGTAACACAGAATTTTAACTGAATTTCCTTCCCACAACATTTGTTAAAAAATTGTGTGTTCTGCCTCAGCGGTATGTGGACTCTTGATTTCGAGTTTTGTATTACGCAGAAATTATGCAAATAGTGTAATACGGAGCGGCCATCTGTTACAAAGTAAAGAAAGTAACATCAGTTATAACGCTGGCCATACTTTGATGCACCTACTTATTAAGAAATTTCACCCGATCCTCATACTGTAATAAAATGACCCGATGCCGGAGAAAGAGGACAATTTGCTCCAATCAAAATTGCTAAGAAGCTACAATTTCGAATCGTAAGATTCCCATATTAAAAGGAGAAATATTAGTCGATCTCCGAGTCCGCCGGTGCCTTGCGATTGATGAGCGCCGGTTTATTCGCCAGCAGCGTTTATTAAATTTGTTAAAAGTCATAATTGTTCGAACATTAATGGACGTAGCCTTGTCATTAACCAAATTGTCCATCGACATTTCCTTTAAACTATTCCGTCAACTTTCGTATTAAGCCCGGCATGAAATTCGCAACAATAAACGGAAAAATAAACTGAAGCTAAATTGATCCGCTCTCATATTTGTAAAAATGAAGACACATAAAAATTGAACGGTCGCCACGTGTAATTTTTTACCATTGAACGATGTCAAGTATTTTTTCAAGAAATAAGAAATTATGTTCCTGGCCATCAATTCAGACGCATGTTTAATTTATGATAATTAATAATTGTAGAGTATAAAACGTCTGCATTCCTATTGATGCGCAAAGCGTACAAGGGAACGTGAAAAACTGTTCAAAGGGACTCGCTAAGAATTCACCGGCAACAAACTAAAGTCATAAATCGCATATCAGCGTGGCTCGATATTCTCTCTGGTAGGGGCAATAAATCCGTCAATCGGGCTCGCATCCCGAGGAGAAATGCGTGCCGCGGACGGAAAAGCAGAATGCGGTGTGCTAAATCGTAGCATAGGAGGACGCGTGCTTACCACGGTACGCACGCGCTTCCTCACACGCGAGTACCGAAAGAAAAGAGGGAGAATCAGTTGGCAGTCGCGAGCAAAGCGAGTAGTAGAAGGAAGGAAGGAGCATCGACGAGCTCTGAGGGGCGAGAGGGCCCCTGTCGGAGGCTACCGTGAGAACGAGGCAAGGCCTCATGTCCCAGACGGACCCATCGACCGGCACGGGGTCCGACGAAGCGACGGAGAAGGAGGCAGGCCTGCCGTGAACGGGAGCGAGACGACGGATGAGTGGAGAAACAACGACAGGTCGGGCCCCGGCCGCAGGGCTGCCGTTCGGGGCCCGTGCTCACGACAGAGACAACGACAGGCGCGAGCCTCACACGCGACTCGCACACGTCCGAGCCGCGAGCGCAAACCGCGCTTTTTTTTCCAGGACTAGCCCGATCTCTCTCGTTCTCTCCTTCTATCTCGTTCCGCGTGTAGGTAGGTACACACGCGACCTCGGCTCTCCCGGTGTGCTCGCCTTCTTCCACACCGATTCTCCTCGCTCCTTTTCTCGCGGGAATGATTGATGCCGTTTCTTCTGGCACGCCGCAGCTCGAGCTCGGGATTAATTGCTACCGGGCACTGATTCGTTTCGACTACCTCGCACGTATCTTTTTGACAATTCATTTTTAAAGCCGTTTTCAGATATTTCACCTGTCTCCAGTAGATGGTATATGAAATTCGATCAGAAATTGATGACTTAGAGCAAACAGTAAACAAAAGAGAATATCTCAGTCGTAGAATACAGATTGCAGAACATTTTTCCGAAATACAACATGCTTGGTCGTAAGGATCATGCATGGCCCAGCCCTTACTTCTTGTGTGACAACTTTCACCGGTCAGACAATGGTAACTGATTTTGCAATTTACCGGAATGTCCATCCGAGGTTATGGCGAATTCGAGGCAGCCATTCACATGTTACAAGAGGAGACTTTTACGCTCGCCTCGCGTTTCCCCCGAGGTGGAAAGGGCATCCGGATTCGCGTATTATAAAGTCTCGCATGGGGTCTTGGCCCCGCAATCAGCTGCAATAAAACATGTTTAAAAAAAGGAGCGAAGGAAACGCGGCTACCTCTTTTTACGTGCACGCGAGAACTTCTCGCTCGTAAAATCGCTTGAGAGTCCGCCGAGTCCCGGGGAGAAAGGAAACGAGCACCGATTTTTGCGCCCATCTGATCCGTACGAACTTTCGAAAGGTTTCAAAAGGCCAAGCCAGGTCCACGAACGCGCGCGTGTCAAGTTTTATTTAACCGATTTACTCGACTCATGCAGGAAATCCTGTCAGGTGATTTTGATTATGTTTCGTCGAGAGCCGAGATTTTTCGCTCCAGGCAAAAATCGATCAATTCCTAGCATTATCCGTTTTACAAATATCCCCTGGCAAAAATTTTATTTCACAATTCATTTTTGTTTATCATTTTAATTAAACTCGAGGCAGCGTTACACGAATATCGAATAATTTAAATTGACATGCCACATCGAAGTTAATTCATTTAAAGATTTATCAGTTCGATCAACGGAGAATTGATTAACGACCTCCTCGAATAACTTCCATTAAAACATTCTCCTCCTTTTCATTAATTTCATATTCAATCGTACATATCCACTTTCTACTTGCGCGGTTTGCACGAAACCCAGTTACGGCTAAGAAGAGTAACCAGTGCGAATAAAGTGGCAAATGGAACGTATCGTTGAACAAAAATTTATCTCTGGTACCTCGCGCCTGCTTACGCCCCGCTGGAATCAGATGAGAAAGCGTCTCGTCGTTTAATCGAATTAATGTGACGACGCCAACGCCGTCGTTCAGGACATTTATTTGTACACGTGCCTCCGTCTCATGCCACGCCGATGACGTTACGCCTTCTCGTGAAATCCTGTCACCAAGTAAAATATAATTACCATTGCAATTACAGTGAAATTTGTTTTTATGCCCTGTGCATGGTTTCTCTTAATGTCACGTGTGAATATCTTGAAGTAATTCCTTTCCATTGAAAGCGCGATGTATCTAATAATAATTAACTGTCACGTATTTTATTATACACGATGACGAATGAGGTGATATGAGAAGTGAAATAAAATATGTAAACTACATTAATAACATTTTTTTATCCTATTAAAATGCCTGGAAGGAAGGAATTATTATTCATGAAAAATATAAGAGTATCTTCAAGCTTTATTTATGAGATACAAATAAAATAAAAGACTAATCATTTATTTTTTATGACAATTCCTATTTAATTACAGACACGAGTTACTTAGAAGGTTTTGTATTTGATGAACAGGAACGTGCGCTTATCAATAGAATATGAACGCGTAACGTGATTTAATAGTAGCGGGGAACGCGTACGTGTCTCCGGAGTCCATTGACGGCGGTCTGGCTTCTAAGATCCGTACAAGAATTGTAAACATTCGCACGCTTCGACCGCGGGCCCCGGTTCCGCTCGGTGATAACGGTCCGCGTGGTGGCACATGCGATAAACGGTCGCGATAACTTCGCCCACGATATTGCACGCGGCTTTTGACGGCCGGCTGACATCATTAATTATTGTTTTCCTTCCTGGTAGTCCGTCGCGTACCGTGGAAAGTCACCCGAGAACTGTGAGACCAAAGACGCAATCGTTTTAGATTGATAGAAAAGCCAGAGCTCAATTCAATTAACACGTTATACTAAACACAGACATTTTCTCAACGTTTGTTATCTGCCGAAATAAACGCGACCTGACTAACATAAAGAAGTACGTAATATATGCTGCTCATTATACAAACGATTTCAAGTGTTCCTCGTGAGCCGTCAGCATGTAACACGTTTTCAATATAAGCGAACCGAAGGTCTTACGTACTGAATTTGGACCGTAGTTTATTTAAACATTCAGCGAAGAACAGGCAAAATAGCCCAAATAATCTGTTAATAAATGGCAATAAATTTGAAATTGTAAATGGACAACGATATGCATTTTGAAATTGATAAGAGCCAGCATGAAACTCGAATGCAAGAAGAAATTCGACGGTGTAGTAGAACGAAATAATGCGAAGAAGAACTCGGAGACTGAGTCAGTTTTTCTTTTAGTTTAACGAGACGAGCTCGGCTTTTGACTGGGCGTTGGAGACTTTCAATTACGTGTTTCCTTGGCAATTTCGATGCTACTTGTTGTTGGGAATTTTTTTCAAACGCTAATTGCGCCACGTTTCCCGCACCACTGACCCGTTCGGCTTAAATTACTTTTGTTAACACGAGAGTTCTCTCGCTTCTGAACGACTCGGTCGCATGCATAATGTAATGAGCGAAAATGATTTCGAAACTGGACGCGCGTATATTTTACAGAGATTATCTTTTTTTTAGATGCAATCACGATGCACCTCGTAAAACGGTTTCGGTACGTGGAAAGAAAAGTTCCATTTTAATTATTTCCTTTTGAACCTTCGATATTAACGCACCTGTTTATTTACGTTTTCATTCGGATTTCAATTAACGTGTCTTTTATAACGAACTCTCTTCCCGCCGGATAAAGAAACGAGCAAGCACCTGAGAACGTTGTTAATCAGGTGTAAACATGAAAAAAATAACTTGGAATTATGCTTGTCCAATATAAAACATGTTTTATATCGTGTAGCTTGTATACGCCTGGATTTTGTTTAACACGTGTACAATTTGCAGGCGAAATTTTGTCCAATTTCTTTAATTAAATCGTCGTCTTGAGACAAGATTTAGTACCTGTCTACTAACACCTCGAAGTATCTTCTTTGGCCCTTAGGCCTTAGGTTCAGATGAAAGTTCCATTCAAACTAAAAATAATATAAACTCTGATGCACGATGTCGTAAAGTGAACTCTTTTAACGAACAAGTGGCTGAAGATTTTGACAAGTGGAAACACGGCTCGGCTTGACGTCTCCAAAAGCTCCTGGCAAGTTGTCAAGCCGCGAACAAAACGTTATCTCCTTCCTAGCACTCTCGCTTGAGCCAGCAGAAAGCTACATATATTTTCGTAGCTCACGTAGTATCTGGTTGACAAGAGATAATGTTAATGGAGGGATTCGTCCGCCGGTTTATAGAGCCTTGAAGAAAGCCGCTCGAGGATCCGACGATAAAGCTTTTTAAGAGAACTACAGAACACACTTGAATCTCGTGCCTGCTAATTCAATCAGTTTTATCTAGTGTCTGTCTGAGGATTGCAAACGAGTTGTTAGAAATTTAACCATATGTCTTTACATCTTCATCTGCAATTTCAAGTAATGTTTGTCTTGCTTTAACTTAACATATTTGCATTATCGAATGCAATATTCCGTGAATAAACTGGAACATTTCTGAATCGAGAAATGTACATATTATTTATCAGAGCAGCTGAAGAAGCTTTTATCAGATTCTTAAGAAATCTCAGTAATTCTTCGGCGCAAGCTTTAAGGATGCTAATGAACCAGAATTGCTTACGTAATTGGAAGAAGTCCAGAATCAAACGCGCACCGCAAGGAAGTCCCTTAAAGGGCGATTCGAAGTGCACTGATTGCAGAGTCTTATTTTGTCGAAAGGGAGTACCTTAAAACGTGTCTCGTTCGCTTTTAATGAACGCGTTAAATGTAGTCGGAATGATCTTTCGACACATTGAACGATCTCAACTGTTGGCTATAACATGGATAAAAATTTCTTGTTAGTCCATGTACGGATCAACTATTTTTGTTCGTTAAAAATTATCGGTGATAAGAAATTGCTTTCGGCGACCATGGTGTAATTTTCCTATGTCGAGGTACGTTTCACGTGTTCTAAATCGCTCGGTTATCACAAATTTATTCTGTCAGAGATAGTACAAGGAATATTATAGAAATATGTTGTAGAATGTTTCGTAAGAAATATTGCCAGCACTTAAGCGACATTGTAAAGAATTAAGCTCAGCCATAAATAATCTATATACGTATTGTAATAAAAATAAAATGCAAAGACTGTTTGCGTATACAAGCGATTAAAATAAATGATTGGCGAAAAAAAGATTGGCCGATTAATCTCGAGGTGCGGAGGAACCTCGTGCGGTAATCGAAGTGAATCAGGGTATCGAGAACGAGTTTAAAGGAGCGTCGGGACGCCCGTGCCGCGTCAAGGTGTAGGTGCAACACAATCAAAGCATTTAGAGCGACCTTCTGGCCGAGAAGTAGCTTCTGCAGAGGGTTCGAAAGTTGGTGAGGGTAGCGGCTGCTTGAATGGCAGCGGAGAGTCAGTTTGTCTAGAGACTGCACGCGGTGCGTTCGCTTGTCTAATGTCAGTGTGAATCTCGCTCACGAATTTTCGTATCTCGCGTGTGTCAAACGTCGATCTGTTTAAAGAGTGTCCGGACAGTGGAGATTTACATATTTACAAGATCTTTTTGCCATCTGAAATTTGTACGAGAATGTAACTCCGTCGTTAGTTCAGTGATCTCAGATGTGTTAATAAATAATAGGTAAGCGAATTCTTGTAACGTGATATGTTACACAGTTAACAGTTCCGAGAACTTTAGTTGACCATAAGAACAGATTACAAGTAAAATTTATAATAGTTGCCTTCGTTTTATGACAGTGTCGTCTTTGAACTTTCAATGATTAAATATTTTCATTACATTTAATTGCGTAATTATTGAATAACACATGTTTGCGTTGAACATTGAATACGGAAAATCTAGTGAACGCTGTCAAAATGAATTTTATATTGAAATACATTACATTAAATTAATATAATGACCGCATTGTGCAATTCATTGACACATCGGATTGTTAGAATTTCTTTATTTATATTTCAACACATGGATTCGTTTGTAACTTATGCTAGGTGTGAATTTACATTTGTCGAGTCTTCAAGAGATATCAAGACGTGCAATGATGTCATACGAATATCCTCATCCGGTTTCCAGGACCTATCAGTATAAAAAAGTGAGTGAACTAATGTAGAACATTTGTTTACTTATCGTATTGACATAATGCCCCTAAATCACTTTATTAACAACTTCTTTACTTCAATCATCATTGTCATCTTAATTATTATCTCGTTATCTTTAAATTTAATAGAGTCGCTTTTGTTTAATAGATAACGAAACCATTATTGGAAAGAAAACGACGAGCTCGCATAAACAAATGCCTTGACGAGTTGAAAAACCTCATGATAGATGCATTGGAGGTATGTATTTAATATCATACATAATTAATTGCCAATAAATTATCAATTTTTATTAAACATGACAAGAATAACTACAATTATTATAATAAAAAAATCTGAATTTGAAGATTTTGTACTTCTAAACATTTTGTATAAAACAGAGAGCATATTTTTTATTAATGCCAGCATACATAATTAACGCCGTGCACGTGCATAGAAAGATGAATGGCAGTACGCAGAATGTAAATGTTAGCGGAGCCATTCAACAAGCGATTTCATCGGGTCTGAGCGCGATACGTTGGTTGAACGAGCACGTGCTATGCTTTTTTCCTCGTGTAGGATCGGCGCCGCGCAGCGCGAGAGAAACCTTTAGAACGAAGCCCGCGTTGTTTCTTGCTCGAAATTAGCCTGCGCCCAGCGCTGTTCACTGTATAAAATATTATACTCACCGTGCCTCTCTTCTATGCAATTTCACGAGTCGCTTGAAGCAGGAAATGCATTCCCGGGCTCAGATACGCGCGTGCAATCGATTTCGTTTTGCGTTTAAATGTATTCCTAGACCGTGGGAACCCGCTCGGCTGGTGAGTGTCAAGCGAACACGTGACTCGGCCGGCCGTAATTACCGGAGCCGGTAGTTAGCGCTTCGGCCGTGTTCATTACATTTAATACTCCGCGTGTAATTGCGATGTCTGCTGGCAGATAAGTGGGTCCGCGGGCTGGTTTGGTTACCGAGGTTCGAGGTAGAAATTCTTCGCTCCTGTTCTCAGATAATGCCGAACAATTTTCCTTTTTCGCGGTAGCGATTAGAGGAAACTCGCCCCTATCTTCCGCTCCGATCTCTCATTCAATGGAAATGCTGTCTCGAATCTCTCGCTCTCGTTTCAATCCGGTTTCAAGTAACACGCGAGTCCAATTTAATCTTATTGTTATAAATAAAAGATTTGTATAAAAATTGCGTTATTAGCATAAATATTACTTAAATTCTCACTAATCCTGAAAAAAAGTAGTATTGGAATAATCTGTTAAAAATTCTTAATGACCACATACATTTTACTTCATTTCTCACAAATTGTCACTCAATAACATTATACGGAATTACTACTTACACAATCTTTAAATTGCGTAGGACGTTTGCATCTTAATGATCAAAGACAAACAGAAAAATTCAAAACGCATTTCAAGAAGTTGTAACACCGGTGCAGCAAGTTCGCGTGCAGAACTCGTTCGGCCTCGGAAAGGATTTGAAATTTTGTAACTATGTCAGCCTGATATCCGACGCGCCGAGATGCACGCGTCTATTAACACGAACGCGTTAATTATGTTATTTCTCTGAAGAAAAATCGCTTCAGATTTCATGCGACGAAATCGCTAATGAAAGAATTAACGCCGGAATGCACGGGAGATTAGCAAGCTACTGGTAGCTAATTATACGGCGAAGCTATGCGTGCAAAGTAATCGTTATTCGAGTCCAATGTACGCATATAATCGATTTTGGTCTAATGTTAATTCAAAGAAATATCTGATAAAGTTGTTTCACGTTGGCGTTCCCCTTCACTTGGGATTAAACTGCATCATAGTGGAAATGAGAATCTGCGGATTAAAACGCTATTTCGAATAATTTAACATTTGCTGAAACGAAGATCAATATTTTTATCCAATAAATAAAACAATTTTTTAGCACACTTTCTTACAAATATAAATTTTTAATCATACATCTTGTGATAAAAAAAATTCGAAAAACCAGGCAGTACTTATTTGTTCTAAAATAGAAGAAAAATCAAATTGAAGATAAATAACATATTTTTGTTATAGAAATTCACATTTTAGACTGATATGATGTTTCAAATGTAGCGATTATGTACATTCTTAGTTGTAGCCATCTGCTAAAGTTTCAAGTAATCTTAACGAAGTTTGTACCTACCTTACTTTCGTGCGATACTTCCTGGGGAAGGGCCCACGAGTCGGTAACGTTGGGACTGATGCGAGAACGGTAATGGGCCCGTGAGTCCCAACAGTGCCGGCTTGAGGAACTCAGGTGCTCTACACGACTTTAAAGCCTTTATTCTAATACCGTGTATCTGACCAAAATAAGATTTTACAGCAGCACGCAAAGGCTAATTATTTCTGTTTCGTTTCATATTTTATTTCATTTTTTTGCATATTTTTATTTAAAGAGTTTTTGTGGTATTATCTACAGTAGGCAACATCAAAGAGAAAAAAGAAGCATTCAAAATTCAAATTTCGTTAAAAATGTTGATGTGTGGTTTTTAATTAAACGGAAGACATCGACGTATATTGCATTTCTTTTTAATATTAAAGATTCAAGAGATTCTTAATATTTACAGTAAATAATATAATATCTTTCGTGTACTGTGCTGGACGAATTGTCTGCAATAATTTATTAATTTGAGTTTCATGAAAGTTTCTTATTTACTCGGAACACCAATTACAAACGAGATTGCTGTAGTAAAAAACGCAAAATTATACAGTATAATTACTATGTCTCGTTTATATAATAAAAGGCCAGTCAAATTTAATTAACTATATAATTTCCCTTATTATGTACGACATTATCCTATGCGTGGACTTATTAACCCGAATTTCTCGAGAATTTGTTCGAAAAACCATCAACATTAAACGAACCACGTAATTATTTTGCATCCAACCCAGTATTACGTATAATTGCGGCGCGTTTTGTATCATAAAAATGTGCGAACGGAACTAAGGATGGTTCGTTGGTTACAGACGGAGGGGGAGGACATCAACAAGCTGGAGAAAGCGGACATACTGGAGCTGACCGTGCGCCATTTACAGAGGCTGCAGGGATCCCAAGCATCTTCCGGTTTCACGAGAACCGCGAGTGACGAGATTTCGGCCGAGGCTCGATGGATCTCTGGTTTTGGCCACTGCGCAGCTGAAGCCTACAGATTTCTCTCGGCGCTTCCAGGTGAAGGCGCGGAAAAGTTAGCCAGGCACCTCGCAGCTGGCCTGCAGAAGAGTTACCGTACGAATTCGACGGTAATTATCTCTTCATCGATGACTCGCGCTTGTCGGACAATGAGGCGAAAGTTAAGCCCGCCCGCGGACACCGAATAATTCATTACGCTCTTCACCGAGATTGACACGCGCGTCCTCTTTTTGATTTTCCTTTTTTTCTTTATATATACACTCTTACTTTGCCTGTCGGATCGAATGACTCGGTAAAACAAATTAGAGAGCATCTTCGAAATCGTAATACAAGTAGAAAATGAAATATAAAACAAAAATTATGATTTACTTAAATATATTTTAATGTTTTTTCAGTTAAAGACGAACTTGCTGACACAAATCTTGGCAAGTTTGGACCTTACCACCGATCCACTGGCTTCCTCGATTTTAAACGCAAATATTAACAGTGCAGAGGCAACTGATCAAAATCCTACGATGCACAATGAAACCATTTGTGAGAGAGTCGCAGTTGACATCGATGAAACAATTTCTGCTGACAATAGGAAAGATTTAAGTGCATGTGCTTCTGAAACGAAGGATTTTAAAGAGGGACAAATAGCGAAGAAAGTGAAGGCAGAAATCAAGATCGAAGATGACGAGGAAATTGACGTGGAACGTGTTGATGAAGCTGATCCTATGTGGAGACCTTGGTAGCTTCAGGACTTACTCAAGTTTTATAATTATATCAGAAAATTAGAATAAAGTATTCGTTGTTCGAATAAGTGATACGATGATAGCATAGGATTTTTTCAACTAATAAAACTACTCTAAACCAATAGATTTAATTTAAGTGATAAGCTTGCAAATGTAAAGATCAAAGATAGTATTACTGTAAGTTTTTCAAAAAATTTCCTACGTTGTTAAAATTCGTATTAAGTTTTCATATGTATTAGTATTATTAATGGTTTAAAGAATAATTTCTCAGAACATATTTTTATTAATCTTGTATCGTGTTACGAAAAGGAAACTTATTATGTTACTTAAAATTTAAAAAATATGTAGTTTATTAGTAAAATACTATTATTAGGAACTAAATTCATTTGGTTTTTTGAAAATACATTTTAGCTTTAATTTGGACACATAGATTATCTCGCGTTGAATGTTGTTAATATGAATAATATATTCTAAGTTTGTTATACTGTTATATACTGTTCACTTTTATGGTATGTTATAGTATTATATTAGTACAAGGTTCTATTCTTATCACGCATAAATTATAAAATAGTATATTAATATGTATGTATTAGTGAATACCGTTGTCTTTCAAGCACAAGCATCAATTTATGATAATTGCTTTAAGGTGATGTTCCATAAAAAATATGAATAATACGTTAAATAAGAACATAATGTATCGTGTAGTGGCGATGAATATTTTGGTACTTGGCTTTAATCTAATAAGATACGATAAATAATCTTTCATTCCTGTGTGATACACGTAAAAGCATTAATATAAACGTGATAGCACATTAATATATAGGAATCTCAATCAGAATGAGTTGTTATGTTAGTAATAATAATGTACTACGACTTAGGTTTAATTTTTTTATTTTCTAATTATCTTCACAATGTAAAAAAAGAGAATCGAAAGGGTTTCTGTTTAATATGTTTCTTGTATTGTATTTTTTCCTGAAATGCAGGGTGTGCACTTAAACTCTGGTAACATTATTTTATAATGTAATCAAAACATTCTTTAATTTTCTCAGTAATCCTAATAACGATTAATCGCGCAATAAATACTATCAAGATTGTCAAAGCATGTTTTGGGATAAATAATAATAAAAAACATTC